CTCACAAGTCCACAGTGAAGCCTCGACTTCCCTTAAATACAAGTTCCCGTGACACCTACTTAACACTTAGCCGACCGATCGGGGAGATCTCCCCATTTCAAAGTAAGTCGGTGCCCGATCGATCGGGGAAATCTGCCATTTTGAGCTTAGCAACGCGTTTATCGTTTTCGGTTATTACTTGCACTGCCTCCATTTGGAGTTGTTCGCAATTACTGACGAACTGCTTCTATAAAGCACAACATATAATAAAATTCATCAATTTTTAAGGCCCCTTATTCGGTATTTCCGAAAAATGCAGTTTGTGTTCCGACAACGCAGTTTGTGTTCCCCAAGCGCGGTGAAAACCGTACAGTTCGCTCTGGGGCGTGCGATCGGCTAAGTGTTAAGTATCCCAGTGTCTAAGGCAGGGGCCTGCCAAGCAAGCCTTACTGATGAGTCCGCTAGCAGGCCCGGGACGAAACGCATCCCTTCCTTTTCCATCGTCCTTCTACCTGCTACCCCATCTATAGCAACGACGACCACGGGGATACCACCAGGCCAGCACTACAGGAACAACAGTCCATCATCGAGCTGGACAAAGAGGACACCACTGCACTTAGCCAACCTCTTCCTTGGAGACGGAATATTGGGAGTGGGGTATCCACCGAAGATACTTCTATTCCTACAATACGATTTCTTATTTGCTACTCAAAAGGATATCGACAGTCTTATAGCAGAAAATTTTTCAACTCGTATACATATTCAGCCAAAAAATCGTCGAGTGCAAAGGGCTAATAGGTGATATAAATAAATAAAAAAAAGAATTCTGATAATTACAGAAATAATTGTGTGCAAATACTAAAAACAGAGATAGAAGTATATGCAGGATGTCAAAAACAGGTTTTATTGTGTCTTCAGCTTACAGAAATAATGAAGGAATTATCGGGTTTGCGCGAACGGTTTGTGACACCGGAAACGAAGAGAATGAAACGAACACCAAACGCGGATATTGATTGAACGCAAGAAGATAATATTGAAATAACGTAACTTTTGCACACGGAAAACACGCTTCTATTCGTCTCTCTCCGACACCGAACGACTCACGTCCGTGCCGGTCAGAAATTATTGGGTTGGCAAGAAAGTAATTTCGGTTTGCATCAGTAAATAATGTTATGCTCGTTTAGTTATTCTTTTGTCAATGTTAGAATTTTTTTCTTTTGAGATGTCGTAGTCGATACCTTTAGGTTGCTATTTCGTGAAATTCCGTGTAAATTTCCGTTTATAACTGTCAGTTCACGGTCAGTCTTATCATGGAGTGCAAAAATAAGCATTTTCGACACATTTTACTTTTTTATTTTCATAAAGGCAAGAATGCGGCTGAGGCTCACAAAGAGATACGAGAAGTTTATGGTCTTGATTGTTTAACAGAACGCACGTGTCAGAATTAGTTTAAAAAATTTCGTTCTGAAGATTTTTCACTGAAAAATACCCACAACGTTCTGGTCGACCTTCTGAGATTTACGCACTTGGTTAAGTTTTCTGCAGATAAGGACCAGAAATTCTATGAGCGCGGGATCATGAAGTTACCAGAAAGATGGCAAAAGGTCATCGAATAGAATGGAAGATATTTGACCGATTAAAATTTTATTTACTGTATAGAAAAAATTGAGTTTTATTTCACACTAAAAAACCAAAAGTACTTTCTTGCCAACCCAATATATTCGCGAGGATTTTTCGAGGATTCTCCGCTCAGGACTCTTCTTGTGTCACCGAGGGTTCTATTTTTATGCCCTTTGCCGAGCTCGATGACGTGCTTTTATCAATTACTAATTGGCTGATCCGATTCAGCCAATTCGCGATTTACTTCCGTGAAAATTACGTCACTGTGCCGATTTGCGATTCGCCCCTTGTGAAAATGCGATTCCGCTGACCTGCGTTTCCGATCCCCGCAAAGACCATGCAACTCAGGTAGCTTGTTTCCCAAAAATAGCCTTCCATGACGGTATTAGTCGATTTTCGACTTTTTTTTCTAAAATAAAACCCTGCATCGGCATTCGTCGATTTTTTATTCGTTTTCGTATTTTAAAAATAGCATTCCACATGTATGTATGTATATATGTATGTATGTATGTATATTGTATGTTTCGATATACGTGCGAAAATATTAAATTTAATACGAAACAAACACTGAAAAATATTTATTTTACGAGAAGAAAGGGAATAAAGGAAAAGACAGTAGATGAGAAACGAGCGAATTAGTCATTTGGAAATACACCTGTTATGTATGTGACGTGTACGATACTGCGGTAAATGAATTAATCATATCGTACCTTACCTGCAATAGTCGTATCTTTATCTTCAAGAATTATCAATCCTTCCACAACGACGACGTTGATTATTAAGGAGACAGTCCAGTATGTAACCTTCGAAAAATAGATTCTTTTTTATTGTTCCAAAAAATTCTCCGTTCTTTGTTGCGTCGAATGCAAAAAACCCGAAGTCGAAATTCGAAAAACTCGCATCACTACAGCATCTTTCGTCTGTTAGCGCGCGCCCTGTATTGACTCCAACTCCAGCAACCATTTTTGTCAACCAAATGTTTAACCTCAATTTTATTGGAACACCGCTTTTAACCATGGTGGCATAACTGAAGAACTAAAGAACCAAAACTGTGATATTTTTTGAGTATTTGTGCAAGACACTGGTTCTGGCACTAATCACTGACTGAAAATATAAAAATTCGGAAAATTTTCAAAAGAATTATTTCTTAGGAACAATTTGTCTTATTCTATCATCTTCAACTTCGTGATTTTTTTTTGAACTTGCTTAAAGCTCTAAATTTGTTAACTGTGATTAATGCGATAGCCACACTGTTTACCTTTACTCACCACATTTTTTCATCCTTTGCAGACTTTTGTGCTGTATCCTGTCCACCATCAAGATCCACTCCATTTCGCAGATGGTTAATTCAAAATTTTTTTCCGAACATTTCTGTTCTGATATTTTTTATCTTAACTTTTTTTATAAGTAGTTTAAGTCTAAAAGCAAAAAGAAAATTGCATGTGTGAAAAATTTGTATATACCTTCTCCCAATTATTTTCTATGAATTTTTAAAGATAGGTTATGATAGAGGTTATGTCATACTGGTTTACCCCCCTAACACTTTGACTGCCACGTTCGTCATATATGACCGGCCACGGTTTCTCCTGTGGCGCCACATGGTGGTCAGCGCTTCAACTACTTGTACTGCATTGAATGAAAATTGACGGTTAATGCATTCTGAATACAACCGCTTATTACAAGATACTTTGAAATAAAAAGTGCCACATTGAACGATGAAAAATTTTTATTAGAACATCAAAAAAATATTAGAACAAATCTCGCATCTGGCGGTGCACTCCCGTGGCATACTGAGAGAAGTATGTGATTTCGGCGTGGCAGTCAAAGAGTTTAATGTAATATTGTTAGAAGGCACACCAATACGTATACGACGAACAGTTGTATCATGTATCACAGCTGAGTTTTCTTTGTTACATTACTCAGTTGTTCGCCTTTGTAAAAGTTACTTAAATCTGTAATAATCTTGGAACAGAAAAAACTCTTGTGCAAAAACTGTTTCATAGATGGTAATTGGAATGAATAGCAACGATTTCAGGTTTACGAAAGGTTATATATTTTAAAAACGGTTAAGACTGTAACATAATTACACATATAGCACTATAACACATATAAGTACACATGTAACACTACAAGTATGGTGTAAATACAGGATGTCCTAAGAAAATGTATACACACTTTGCGTGATTATAAAAACAGTATATATTTAGATGGATTGCAGATTACAGAAAAAATAAATTAGAAAGAATAAGGCATTAAAGTGTGTATACGTTTTTCTGGGACACCCTGTATATACGTATCATCAATATACAGTGACATAGAAGTTTTCAGCCGTTATATTGCAATGAAATTCTTCTGTTTCAATAATTTTTGTGAAATATGTATATGTGTAAAGCATAACAGGTTTCATATGAAATAATTTTTCTGTCAAGTAGAAACTTTTTTTTATTACAAATGAAAAATTATACATTTTATAGTTGAAAAGTTTTGTTATATCTTACAAAATTCTGTATACTATATTACTAAATTAAATTAATTATTAAACTAAACAAACAATTGCTCTATATAGAATGCATTATGCTCTACATGTATAATGCAAAGCTTCAGTAAAATCAATATTCTGCAATAGGTGAATTTCCTTGTAATATAGTGGTTTGAATGTTTTGCACACTATACATTATTGTATAAATTTTATTAATTTATTTGATAATTATACATAATGACAATGATAAATAAATAACATTTTTATCAAGCAAAAGATGATGTATTTACACGCATATTTCCAAGAAATTGTAAGAAATGTATGTAAAAAATATTTAAAATTCTGTTAATACCTTTTGTGAGAAAATGTGTTAAAGAGAAATTATTATTAATTGAAGCTTTAAACATTCCGGTATAATACATCAAATATTACGGAATTTTAGGATATAAGTAATAAAATATCAGTAATTACTGATTATATATTTGTAATTTAGTAGTGGAATTACTAGCACTGGAATTTCTCTCTTTTAAATCGACTGCAAAATATTCAATACTATGTGCGTGTTTAAATGTCCCACGTGATGCGCGCTCTTCCATCACTAATGAGAGAGAAAGGGAGCTATAAGTCGCAACGCTGTACTAAGCAAATCCTATCCCCGTGGTGTAAAGTAGTTCAAATGATAATTATTCTTTTCGTATCACTATTTTCTAATAATTGTAATAGTATTTAGTTTTCGCATGAATAATCGCGTGACTTTTTTTTTAAGGTCGAATGGAATATTTAACGTCCACTAATAAAATGAAAACTGGTTACGGATGATATGCTCGATAATTCTTCTTACTCGTTCGTCAAACACTCGTTAATCGACTATGCATGGGTTTTTATCAATGAAATTGTTTAACAAATATTTTTTTCTTTTTAGACAAACGCCGCAATAAGGAAATCATGGAAACATATGCAACAAAATTTCCGGACTACACGTTCCTTCGAACAAAATTCGATAACAATCCTTTTCGGACTAATGAAACATTCTGTGTTGAAATTAAACCAAAACAAGGTTACCTGCGAGATATCGATCGAAAATTTCAAAAATGTCCGTACTGTTTGACACAGTACTACAAGGTAATTATTCGATATTCTATATTTCTTAATTCATATTTTTCTAACGCATTACTTCATTTCCTAAGATTATTATAATTTAAAATATTATCATTTTTGTTATTATATTACTGTTTCAAGTACTTCCATTGGACATGTACTTTACGAAAATCGTTTTCATCTAACATTATTAATTTATTAAAATTAGGAAATAAATTTATAATAAGAATATACAATAAAAAATAATATCATGTTATTCACTGCAGTTGTTTGTGTTACAGGATGTTTATTGTAACGGTATCCACAATTTCTTATCTACTTAATTCACCAAAAAAATTCAGATTCAATCAGTTTCAATCAGGATTTTCAAAAAGCGGTTTAGTTTCAAAAAATTGCGGTCATCTTTGCTTAAAAAATTGTTTAAATAAGTTAAAATAATATTGCACCTTATTGTTATTTGTATTCAGAATTCAAAAATCAAATTTCAAGTTTGTGGTAAAAAATATTTATAGAATTTTTAAAATGCTGTTTAGTTTCAAAAAGATTGCAGTTATCTTTGCTTAAAAAAATTTTTAAATAAATTAAAATAATATTGCACCATATTGTTGTTATTAACATTCAAAATTCAAAAATCAAATTTCAAGTTTGTAGTAACAAATATTTATAATATAGATATTTATTAATATTAATTATTATTATAAATATTTCTAAATATTTTAAGGTATTTACAATATTTTCTATAAATGTAAGTTGTAAATTAACGCGAAGACAAATTGAATATGACAGAAATAACATGATTTATCAATATACAATATTAACATAAATATACTATGGGATATTACTGACTTCTTTTCTGGTTACTCTAAAATATTAAATTCATCAATTCATTAAAGTCATAAAAAATGGGATACATAATTCTTAAAGAAAATATACAATTCTTTTTAAAACAATAAAAATAACTGAAAATTTATCAATATACTTGATCAAAATTCTGTTTCATATTTTTTTATCAAATACTCGACTTATATTTGTAAACATTGATAGTAATATTGGATACTGATCTTGCATTTGAAAAATTCAAACAACCAAATCTCCTGTTTTCAAAGATAGACAAATTTTTCCACCAATTGTTATATAAATATTAAACTTATAAAAAATAAATACTTTATTTTCCTTACCAAACGTAATTTTCATAAATAAACAAATACTGCATACTATACAAAATTTATCTTATTAACTTGAAAGCAAGTATGGTTTAAAAGTCGTTTTCTTTAAAAATTGAAATCTTATTACATAATCTGCATACAAAATTTAAACTAATTTTCTTTCTTCTATTAAATTATTATATGTAGGCCAAAAATCATAAATATCGTTACAAGAACCATTCCATACTAATATTTGTGTATTATTATTTCCCTTGTATAATAAAAGTAAAAATAAAATAAAATGTCTTAATTAATTAATTAATGATTCCTATATTTTCAGCTAAAGAAGAAGATGATTACATCTCGCAGTACTTACTGTCCATTTGATCTCTTTTCGGGAGTGGAAACACGCATGAAATCGGCATTGAAAGGACTACTAAAATCACCGCAAAACAATCTCAAGATCTTTAAGAATGGCACTATAGTTTACGATCAAGAATCATCTTCGAGTGACCTTGAATGCGTCTTGACAAACTGGTTCCATAATTCTGTTAATTCCACGAACAAAGAGTATGTTGATAAGTTCTGTAATTTAATTTGTACTGCTCTTTTACATCCGTTTATCTCGGAAGAATTTAAATATAACACACTTCCTGCCAATGAATTATACACATCCGTTGAACCAGATTTGAAAACAACCCCGTATATTAATCCAGATCTAATTGCAAAAGCTAAGAAATTGCTATATTTTGTTGGTGAGGTAAATATCAACTTTCTACAATATTAAATACAATGCATGTAATAAATTCTTGTTTGATTTATTAGAAATTTTAATAAAAATTATTTCAAACAGTTATTTCACTATAGTTTACATTATAATTTTATAATTTATTATGATATTAAATTTGTTAAGTGTTAATTAATTAAATATTTTTACATAAGAAATCGTAACAAGGTTTAAACATAATATTAAGCATATAAATTTATACAAAATTTTAAATAAATACTGAATGTAATAAATTTATAACATTTACAGGCGTGCAATATAAAGGGCGAAGTATTACCAAATAATTCAGTGCTAGAACGAATTCTTCGCATGCAGAGGCTACCCTTTATTAGTTCAGAGTACGTTTATAATACGTATTCAAAGTTTCGTTCATTACTAACTGATGATATTATATATTTTAATTTAATAAACATACTCAAACTTAATGATCAACGGTTATCTTATTTTAAACAAAAAGTAAGTAAATTCTCCTTTTAGTTTACAATAATACATAGCAAAGGGTGTTATTTATTATAATGTATGTAGATAGATATTTTATAAAAATTATTTTTCGTAGGAATATTTTAACACTTCTTTTATTTTTCAGAAAATTATTACAGAAGATTCTGAAACGTTAAGAGAGGCTTATATACAAAGTAGTGCCAAAGATACTTCAACTTCAAGAAAATCGAAGTTTAATGACGATTATGATGACAACAAACATATTAACGGACCTAATGAAAATGTTCTTCTTTTACCAAAATCAGTTCTCATTCCAATGCATAATGAAAAAAATACCACATGGTACAATAAATTTAACGCAATACATAACGGAGAAAAAATACGTTGTAACAAAAAAGGAACATATTTTTATGTAAATGCCGAAAGTATATTATGCTTACAGAATTATCTTTTGTTTTCGTGTGCTAGAGATTGTTCGATATTAATGTCCTTTCAAGAAATAAATCCGTAAGTTTTTAAATATTTTATTGTGAAAGTACAGAATAAAAGTATTGCTGTTATTAATGCCCAAATATGTTAAATTATTACACTATGATGTAGAATATTTAAATAATATTTTAACAAAGAAATACTTAAATTTTAAATAATGATCAATATTTTCTGATTCTGTTCACTAATTTATTCTTTTTTCTTTTTTGTAAAACAGGAATTCAATGTTGTCTGCCCTTGACAAAAACGTAATACAACTGTCGGATGGACTCAGCTTTGTTTGTAATATAGGAATTTCAGATATAGATCCGAAAAGTTTATATTGCATTGAGAAACATCGCCAACGGGATATCGATATTTTAAATTCAGTAATATCTTTACTCGAAGAAGAACTTGTGATTAAAAATCAATCGTCATTTGAAAAATGATTACTATAATTATAAACTTTAACTAAGACTTTACTATGTGACGTTCCTATATTTTATATTTTTTAAAGTACAGGGCTTATTATTGTATCACAAATATCTCTAATTATAGATGATGTATAAAGGACACATTTCTGAAATATGTACAGTAAACAAAAGTCCTGTGGTTTACATTACTGTATTGTAAAGTAGGGAATTAACATTAAAATTTTTTCATTCATTGAAATATTTTATATACATTCTTTTAACATCATACGACATTAAATAATTGTGCTACTATTGTAACTAATATGCTAATTAACAAATGATCTCGATAGTATTTTTGTCTTGAAATTAAAATATTTATATTTGTATTCATCCAATTGATTATGTGTATAAAAACCGAAAATACTTATTACTTATTTATTATTAAATTATGAATTTTAAGATAATCAAAAATAAATTATAATACCTTATTGGTCACAAATAAATGCAATTATTTTATAAATTAGAAATATAAAATATATTGCCACATTGCTGATAGTATATTATGAAATGGATTGACTCGAATCTCGTACATTTTCGGGGAAATATGTCACTATTCAAAACAATGTAAATATTTTATTAAGTGCAAGCTTTTATCAAAAATTATTGGGTACAACTTTTTTATGCATATTACATACTTATTATTAGCGTATTTTATCACTAACAGTTAAAAATGAACAACGATAACTTGCTTCTTCCATCACTGATGGTTGAGAAACGAAAGATTAGAATTCTCGTCTCCCGTCAACAATGTTAAGAAATCAGGAAAAATAATGTAAAATGTAAAAAGAAGAGAATGCAAATATAAAGAATGTAATTGTAAATTTTTAATATTATTCGTTTGTGTTATGATATTATTTACAAATTTGATATTGTGATTTTATTTATCCGTAAATGAATTATAATTTTATGAATTAAAAATGACCGAATAAATTTATGTAACAAATAAATCTTTCATATAACAAAATTTTTAATTGCTTTTCGTACATAGAAATTTAAGTTTTAAAATTCAACTCTATATTTAATATGGTTCTATGATTTTAATTAAATTATATTTGAGATCTATGACACTATATTACACCAAAACTTTTGTAATCGCTTATTTGTAAATTATCACCCTAAAAACGTTGTCGTTACATTAAATTACATGATTTGCAATATGCATTATTAAAAATGTATCGTTAAAATAAATTTTAAATTAAAACAATTTCTATTTTATTTAATAAATATTATTCACAAATATTATTTGCTATTGCAAGATGTATCATGAAGTAATAAATATTTTAATACGAAACATACATCTCTGTGTTAAGTGATTGAATCATTTTAATTAGTACTAATACTATTCTTTCCTTTCATTCATTTAATTTTAATAATATGATTATAGAATATAGAGACAATTAATATAGATATTATTAATGTAAATAATATTATAGAGAATTCTTAAATAATAATATTCTTATCAATATTTGTAATTTGTAGCATTTGATTATAAATTTTCAGTGTTTATAATTAAACATCAAAATAATAATAAAATTAATCAGGTGAAATTAATTACATTGATAAAGTTATATATATAATCATGCAATGATTTTGTAATCATTTCCAATCTAATTGTACTATTTTCACCAAATACTTTTGGAATTTTAAGAGGGATATAAAGATATTGTTTATATGAATAATCTTCCCTTTCAATTTTTATGTTAAAAATTTATTTTTCTTCAGATTAAACCAATTTTTTTTTTGAGGAAACTAAAAAAGATAAAAAGACTGCAATACAATAAAAGCCAAAATCATTTCTTAATAATATCACTAACATAAAGAAGAAACATTTATAGCAATATTGCTTTTAACATATGCAAAATATAATTAAAAACAGATATACCTATGTTTTTCTTTCGATTATATAAATCAATCATATCTAATTTGTAATAAATGTATGATACAAGAAAAATAAAATATTCTAATATTGACAAATAAGAAATAATTATGTAATCATTAATATGCTAATAATTTCAACGAATATATAAATGTTTTATCACAAATAAAATTCAATTTTTAAAATATTAATCGTTTCATATACCATAGCGTGTTGTACAATTATGAATGACACGGTTAAGGTTCGGTGGGAGTAACTATATACTAGAATTATTCAGGAGTGTATTGACAAGGGGTTTTAAAAATTCATTTGAAAATTTTATGTTAAAGATATAGCTAATCTTTTAAAGTAATGCGTTTAAGAAAATTACAAGCCTCAGGTTTCTAATGGAATTTATTGCATTATTAATGAAAACATAAATATGGTAATGAATAATCAGTCAAATAATAATTAATAGCTTTTTTAAAAATATTAGAAAAATATATGAAAAATAAGTAAATCGACTAAAAATATAAATACACTACATATATATATATAGAAGAAAAAATATTTAATTTCAATAAAAAGATGTTACAGTGTTATGTTTCAAAAATATAAAAAGATGAATTAAAAACTGTCACGCGAAATTATCAATAATTTTATATGTATAACGTATCCTTCTTTATAAGTATTAACTTATTGGGATTATTATCCTCATCTTTGCTTAACGATTTGTATAAATTTATATACATATTGTTTTATGTTACATATTAACTGGGGTGTTTGAATTTTTTCGTACACCCCTAAATACTATCACGCGATTGGTGAGTTAGAAGTGAATATCGGGTGGCTTCGGTTGGTATCGGTTCCATCTGCGAGGATCTTCGTCCCACTGTAATTCTTGGGGCTCTGTCACGGCGCCCCTCCCCAACGGGAGAGAAAGAGCGAGTCGCTGCGGTGCTCTCTCGACTGCCAGTCGACGTTCGTAAATGGCGACGTACCGATATCGAATGCACGTAACGAACTGGTGAATCGTCGTACGTGATGACGGCTCGTCACTGAACCTCGGACGGCGATGGGCACGCAAAAGCCGGAAGAATGGGCGAATTTGCTGATCACACGTTTCGAGGAACAGGTAGATCCCAGCTGTGACTCGAACTACAAATCTGTTTAGCTTTCCTTTCTTGTCCTATTCGTCTTCCCTCTCCGTGACCGCCCCCTCTCTTTCTCACCTACCCTCTTCCGGTGCTTTCTTTCATTCTTTCTCACTCTCTTCCTCTATTTACTTTTCACTCTGTGTTCTTTTTAATCCCTTTCTCTATTGTTTCTTTTTTCTCAGCTTCTTTTTTTCTATTACGCCTCCCTTCTTTAGTAAATTATTAATCTTATTACTTTTCTTTCATTCCTCATTTTCATGGACTATTTCGAAGAAATGGCAGTTAACGTTAGAGGAAATGATTATTCTATGAAGGTGCAGAAAAACCGGTGACGATCAATCTAATTGCTCATATAAATTTAGCTAGATATTAGATTTTGTGCGATTGACGTGATTCCTGTGTTAGTGACTATGAAGCAAGTGTGAAAAATTTAATTTTCTTTGCAAGTGAATATTCGACAAGTGATGAGAAGTTACGACGTTAAGTGACATGAGTAATATTGAATCGACAATTTTGACAGGAGTCAGTTCTCTTTAATGCTAAATTTCATAGCAGTTTTTTGTTTCACGACAATCAGTCCAATTCTTTTCATATCCTGTCTGATGAGGCAAGGTATAGAATAACTAAATGTTTCTACGAATTACTCATGTTCAGGGCAACAGTTGTTTAGCTGAAATTGGGAACAAGATCATTTAAAATTGTGCTTGCAAAGTTTCTGAAATGCGTATTTACTGTATTTGACATATTTTCCACGGTTTTTCTTTTTCCTTTTGTATTAGCGGGAAAAGAATAACGATATGAAAGTATATAATTATGGAAAGCTAGTATTTAGATAGTATCTAAAGATAGTGTCTATTTGTCCAATGTAGCAATTGTATCTCGCTTTCCATATTTCAAGATTTATTTCAAATGTAAAATAGATCTTGAATGACGCAATGACCCTAAATCAATCTCATAGGTTTCACAGTAGGTAAAATGGTATTAATACTGAAATTTTAGTTATTGTTATTAACCTTGTTATTGGAATAGTTATTAATGATTGATATCATTATTTCCCTGAATACATCGTCATTCGTTTGTTGATTCGTTCATTCATGGGAAGATGCTTTCTCGCGGTCTCCTCCCTCTACACGCCGTACAGTCCACGGTTTGACCTTCGCCCCTTCTCCCTTTCCTCTCCACCCCATCAGCTATTCAGTTAAGGTATATACAGGGTGTTCCAAACTCCATATACTATTTTAATAATTTTTTGAGAATATTATTTAGTCATGTAACTAAATAAGTTACAGAATTATCATATTTATTTGCAATTAAAATAATGAATTTTTTCAAATTGTACGAATAACTGAAAAGTCGATGCAATTAATATTTAATAACAGTAAAGATTTAAGTATTATATTATTCAATGGTAATAAACTAAAATCTATTTTCAAACTCAAAATTACTTTTATTTTTTCTAGTTCTCGTTAGTTGTTTCAAAACAACGGAAAAACATATATTTTACAATAATTATATAACCTTGTTCATATTGTATACATTTATTTTACACTTGTAGTTATTTTATTACTTGTAGTATTGTTCAAAAGAATAATATTTAAGAAAATAGCAACGAAACGAAGTATTTAGTGCAAGGAAGTTTAGGAACGAGTTGTTGGGATACCCTATAGAGTTTCATTCCCCGTCCCGTAACCCCTTTATACCTACACACCGGCGCTTCCGTCGTGTCACGGATACATGAATGAAAATTGCGTTCACTTCGCGCACAACTTATCGAAGAATTTGAATCTGTGATTCAAATGCACTTAAATACGATCAAATATTATTACATGAACATACATGTAACTTTCAGGTTTTGTTTTAAAGACATATGCCATTGCAGCGATGACTTCGATCGGTCAACATATATACATGCATATAAATGCATATAAAGAACTGAATAAGTGTTTTGTAAATGCTCAATATGT